CATGTAACTGTCAAATCTCTTGTACCACTGCCTCGGAGACTGCTTAAGTCCATACAATGACTTCTTCAGCTTACAAACATAGTCTTCTTTTCCCGGAACCTCGAATCCTTCTGGCTGAGTCATGTAAATTTCTTCCTCCAACTCTCCATGTAGGAAAGCTGTCTTCACGTCTAGCTGCTCGAGCTCCAAGTCATAATGTGCCACTATTGCTAGTAGCACTCTAATCGAAGTATGTATGACCACTGGTGAGAAAATCTCATTGTAGTCAACTCCTTCCCTCTACGAGAAGCCTCGTGCAACCACCCGAGCTTTAAATTTCATGCCCTCTTTAGAAGTGATTCCTTCCTTCTTCTTGTAGATCCACTTGTTTGTAACAATCTTCCTTCCCTGTGGTCGTTTGACTAGCTCCCAAGTCTGATTCCTGTCATGGGATTCCATCTCATCTCCCATTGTGGCAAGCCACTGATCAGCTTCTCCACCCGAAACGGCTTCTCTATAGGACTGTGGCTCACCTGCATCCACTTCTTCAGCAACCTGAAATGAATACGCCACCATGTCCTCGAAACCATACCTCTCTGGAGATACTCCAGCAGTCGCTCTCTTTGGTCTATCGGAAGCTATAGACTGTTGAGATCCTGCACTGGACTTTGAAGTTTATGGCTCTGTAGAAACATCCTCATGTTGATCTTCTCCACCTTGGTGCTCAAACTCACTCTCATTGAGAGTTTGCAGCTCCACCTGCTTATCAACATTCCTACTACCTTCAACAACAGTAACCTTCAACATGGGGTTAAACATAGACTTCTCATCAAATATCACATTTCTACTGAGTATAACTCGATGCTCACAAGGTGACCAGACTCGAAATCCCTTAACTCTATCTCCGTAACCCACAAATACACCCTTCTTTGCCCTTGGGTTCAGTTTACCCTCATCCACATGATAATAAACAGGACACTCAAAAACATTCAGTGAAGAGTAATCAGCAGGCTTACCATACCACACCTCATAAGGAGTCTTCAACTCGATACCTGTGTGAGGTCCACGGTTGATCAGGAAGCACGCCATGTTCACTGCTTCTGCCCAGAATCTTCTCTCTAGTCCAGCATTAGAGAGCATGCACCGTGCTCTCTCCAACAATGTCTGGTTCATCCTTTCTGCAACGCCATTCTGCTGGGGTGTATCTCTCACAGTCCGATGACGGGCAATCCCTTCATCCTTGCAGAATTCGTTGAACTCAGAATTACAGAACTCCAGACCATTGTCCGTTCGCAGCTTCTTGATCTTCTTACCGATCTGATTCTCCACCAATGTCTTCCACTGCTTGAACTTCGTGAAAGCCTCACTTTTTTGCTTCATCATGAAAATCTAAGTAAATCTCGAATAATCATCAATAATAGACAGAAAATACCTGCTGTCTCCAATGGATTCAACTCGTGAAGGACCCCAACAGTCGGAGTGGAGGTAATCTAGTATCCCCTTCGTCCGGTGGATACCCCTCTTGGGAAACTTGCTGCGATGTAGCTTCCCAAACACACAATGCTCGCAGAATTCCAAATTCTGCATCTTGTGCCCGCAAAGAAGATCCCTCTTCGACAGAACTTGCATCCCCCGTTCACTCATATGCCCCAATCTCATGTGCCAGAGAGTGGTCATATCTTCCCGATGAACCTGAGACGATGCAATTGCAGCAGAACCAGACAACACAGACCCTTGTAATGCATACAAAGTCCCACACTTCACGCCCTTCAGCACCTTCCTTGAACCTTTGCGGACATACACAACTCCACCTTTTCCTTTGAAACTGAAACCCTTGCTGTCGAGTAGACTCAAGGAGATCAGGTTCTTTGTCATTCGTGGAACATGCCTGACATCATTCACGGTACAAAACAAACCATCATGTGCCCGAACCTTTATGGACCCGATTCCAACAACCTTGCAGACAGCTCCATTAGCCATGACCACGTTACCACCATCTATCTGCTCGTAGGTTGTGAAGCAATCCATGTTCGAAGACATATGGTATGAGGCTGCAGTATCCAGAAACCACACATCCCCACGATGTGCCTTCTCATCTACAGCCAAGGCTAGATCGTCTTCAGAACTGTTGTCCACTTCTGCCACGGCAACTGAACCTTGTTTCTTCTGTTGCCCTCTTCTCTTGGGACAGTTGTACTTCCAATGCGCCACTTCCTTACAGTTATGGCAAGCATCACCTGGATGTGGACCGAGACCCTTGGAATTCTTGTTCGAATTCCCTTTACCAGATTTCTTCTTTCCCTTTCCACCTGTAACAGCCAAACCCGATGCCTCAACACCTGTACCAGATCCGGACGCTTTATGTCTGATCTCTCTCGTATGAAGAGCAGACCTGACATCTTCCAACGACACACTTTCTTTACCAGCAATAAAAGAATCAACGAAATTCTCATATGAACTCGGCAAAGAAACCAGTAGGATTAGGGCAGCATCCTCGTCATCAACTTGAACATCTATATTACGTAGATCCAGCAAAATAGAGTTAAGCTGTTCGAGATGTTCCCTCAAAGGCGTACCTTCTTGCATCCTCAAGCTGAACAACCGTTGCTTGAGATGCAGCTTTTTGGTTAGAGACTTAGTCATGTACAGACTCTCTAGTTTCAACCACAAGCCCGCGGCAGTCTTCTCAGCAGCGACTTCAATGATGACGTCATCAGACAACGATAACATGATGGTCGAGTGGGCCTTCTCCTCCAGGGTATTCCACTCATCGTCATCGACTGCTGCCTTCTTCTGTTTTGCAGACAGCGGCCCCCACAGCCCTTGCTGTTTTAATAAAGCCTGCATCTTGATCTGCCATATTTCTTCCCCGTGAACTTTTCGATCTTCATGTTCACCGACGTCATTCTTCTGAATCGAAAACCCTAACCTGAATTTCCAGCAGCGGCTCTGATACCACTTGTTATAAACGCGCTGCTACGGATCGAGAAATCGCCGGAATCGACAAAGCAAGAATACGAAAGCGAGAATCGAAAACACGACACACGATTTACGTGGTTCACTAACACGATGTGTGTTACCTACGTCCACGGGCGAGAGAGAGCCAGTTTCACTATATCGAGGAGATTACATATTACAGAGGAGTATGAGAAGTATCTATAGTACTTCTCCATGTGGGTCTAAACCTAATCCAATCTGGCAAAGGAAATGGTTACAGACCAGGCCCAGAACCCGAACCCAAATAACATTGAGCCCATACACCGTGGACCCCACTCGCTGACCGGGCGACCCCCGATTACCAGTCGTAGCGGCTGATAATCCCATTCAGGTCACATCAACACCGCGGATACCCAGCGGGTTGGGTTGGGTTTGAGTTTTTCAAACCTAGCGGGTTTTACCCTGGGTTTTTTTTAACGGATAAACCCATGGGTTTGGGTTTGGCAAAACCCGCTCCAACCCGACCCATTGTCATCCCTAATTTGGAGTTAGGTTGAAATAAGATAAAAGACCAAGACATGAAGTCTCAAAGGATAAGCCACCTTTGAGTCGAGACGTAAAGCAATAGGCCGAACTCTGTTAACAAAACATCATGTGTGTGTGCCACTTCCTACTCTTCTCTATTGAGTGTTTCCTTCTCAATAGAAACATTACCTTGTCCATCCAAGGTTGAAGGCGACTCGATAAGGGCATAAGTCCATCCCATGAAATACTTGGGCTTCACCAACGAGTTGAGCCTAACACTCAAGTCCAGATGATCGTTCATAATTTATCATGTTTATTTATCTACTTTTATAAGATTATTATTTGTGTGCTACACTCATTCTAAAAATAATCGTGAGATTCAACATAAAAAAAATAAATGATTATTAGAGTAATTAGCATTGTACTAACTCTCTAACTTCTCCACTAAGTTCCCGTAAAAAAACCTTCTCCTCCAAGTTTTAGGCTTGAATTCTTAGCCTTGTTCTGTTCAGATTTGCTTTTTCCGGCTTAAGGAGGACTTATTTGATTTTCCGGGAAAAGTTCCACAGCAGGAAAGTTCGTCGTGTCGAAGTTCCATTGGCCTGCTAGTGTTTCTGGCAGTACTAACCCAGTAAAGTGAGCCATATTTGCGCGTACCGTACCAGTGTAGACACGCTAAAATTAGAAAAGGAAAAAAAAGGGTGTAGACTCACTGGAGGAGTGGAGGTGGACTTTTTGTTAATTAAAAAGGCTAGTAGCTTAACAGAACGCTCGAGCCGAGAACACAATAGCATCTAATCTCAATAGCACAAAGCTAGCTCAGTTTTCCTTTTCGTTGTTCGTAGTAGCAAGCAGAAGCGGCTGAACGATTTCTTCTCTTCTGAATTTTATTAAGATGTAAGATTCTTTCCACCCTCCTTTTCGGTTTCGCCTGTCGTTCCTCTTTCGATATTTGGGTGTTCGTCAGTTCACCCCCATTCAATTCGCCCCGCCGCCGAGGGATTGATCTTCATAGGTTCCTTCCTTGCGAATTCGTTATGCGATTGTGAAATTGGGAATCTATCAACTTGCAATTTTTGGGATTTTTCTTGTGATTGGCAATTGATTGATTCTGGGGTTCCGAGTACAATCGTCGTTCATTGTACTGATCTTTTTGGGGTTCTTTTTTCTCTTTTCCCTGTTCGTGTGGTTGAGTTGTTTGATTGCTCTTTGCAGTTTGTTGGGTTTGTTCTTGATTGATGAAAGGTGTGTTTTTGTCTACTTAAATGCCTGTATTTTGCATGGAATATCCTGATTGGAAGGTTGTCTAATGGCCCTTTTGATGTATCTACAGACTACACACTGTCTACATAGCGTATTGACATGTTAGGGTACTGATGTTCTCAAACTCCATTCAATCTATGTTTAGCTTCCATGTGTTGATGTTTGAGGATTTTTCATAGTCTGCCGAAGATTCAGCAATGATAAGAACCTGCGGTTTAGTTCTAACCGAAATGCGGATCCTGTGGGTTTCATTTTGTTGCAGTTCGAATCCCTGATTTTGTATGCATTAAGCTGGTATGGAGACTGGCGGTCCTAGTTCAGCGACAATAGATAGATTAAGCTCTCTTCCAGGCAATGTGATAGATAACATTTTATCATGTTTGTCAACAAAAGAAGCTGCGAGGACAAGTTGCTTATCCAAGCATTGGAAGGAAAAATGGCATACAGTGTCCTGTATTGTACTTGAGGAGAAAATGTTGAGTGAAAGAATGCAATCGCAGATTGAGGGCATCATCACTTATATTCTGACCAAACATGCTGGAGACATCGAGATTTGCTCGCTTTCTGTTGGCACGGTGAAGTTTTTCTACGATATGAAATCATGGATGTGGCGGTTATCCCGAAAGTCTGTTCAAGAACTCACCCTTAAAGTTCAAAGGGGTACTCGTCATGATGTGCCCTTGGATTTGTTCTTTTGCGAACAACTAAGGCACTTGACCCTTCGTTATTTTCTGTTCAGACCCCCATGTACTTTTCGGGGGTTTAGGAATCTCGTGAACCTTGATCTTAAGAAAATTACTATATCAAAAGAAGCCCTTGAAAGTCTGTTGGCTAGTTGCCCACAGCTTGAGACACTGATCGTGAAGAAATTGAGCTGCGTTGATCATCTTCATATCAACGCTTCTAACCTTAAGTACTTGAGCTTTGGTGGAGAATTCAAGTCCATGTGCTTCAATACTCCTCTTCTTACTGTTTTGTCTTTAAATATGTACCGAATTGTGTCTGAGCAGAACAACTTCGATTTAAGATTCATAATCCGTGGACTGCCTCCTGCTATTGAGGAGCTCTATGTGCGGTGTCCTTTTAAGAAGGTATCAACTTGCAACTTATCCCCATCTGTATTTACATCACATTTCAAAAAAACCCTTCCCTCTGCTGAGAAATTTGCTTCCTTTTTTTCACCCTGCTGCTTGGCTCTTTTGTCTAGTTCTTGGCTGCAGGGAATAGACTGGCTCAGGTCTCCACTTGTTACAACAATGTTACAACTCTTGGATTGGATGAATTCTGCTTCAAGCAGATGGACCAAGTCTCGTGTCTTCTTTCCTTGATTCAATGCTTCCCTAACTTGCAATTACTTGAGATTAAGGTGAGTGGAGTAAAACTAGGTAGCTGTCTGATAATTCTATTACTTGAGAATTCTGTTAAACAGAACAAAAAAAAAAAAAAAAAAAAAAACTGTTGCTGATCACTTTTTCTCATGAAGGCCTGTAGCTGTGATAATGAAGCTGCACAAGCTGCTGTTTTAGAGTTCTGGGAAGAAGATAAGCATCCCACGTGTTCCTTGGACCAATTGTGTAATGCAAGGGTGAGGTCATTCCACGGTGACGACTCTGAAATGAGGTTTATCAAATTTGTGATGGCAAATTCGCCGAAGCTGAATGAGATGACTGTTGAACCCATCATCAATCCGGACTATAACGAAATAGTGATTATTGCACAACTGATGGATTTGCCACAAGCCTCAGAGAAAGGAAAAGTCAACTATGTCGCCTACAACCCTCATGTGAACTCAGGCGATTTCTCGGATGAAGATGGCGACAGCTCGGATGATGCCTACTCTTCAGAAAGCGAGTAGCTCGGGAGTGCTGCTGGCAGGCAGCCTCTGCAATAAAATAGCATGACTTATTTAGCTAGGCAATGGTTGTGATTATCAGGTTTGGATTTGCAGCGCCCCCTATTATTCCTTTCTAAGTCCATTTTCTATATGCGTATCAGCGTATGGACAAAGAAAGAACAGAGGGAGAAGATCTCACCTTGGGGAGGTATGGGGAGCGAGTGAGTTTATTGTTTCCCCTATTTGTTCTTCAGCTCTTTGCTTCTGATATTTGGTGCGTGATTGTGTTTGTGTGAATATCTTTACTGGAACACTACACAATGCAGCTTAAGTATTTCCCGTATATCCACCCAATTGCTTCATCCTGTATATCCTAGTTTAGGTTGCATCACTTTCATTGAATGGATGGCTTGTTGGCTTAAACTGTCTTGTCTAATGGTTTTTGCGAATTTTTTCGACGGCTTTGTAGTTTGTTGTTGAGTGAGTTGAATTGGATGCCAACTATTTTCAAGTGGAAATTGGTCCATCTGGGTTCAAGCTAGCCACAATCTTGAAACAGTTCAATTTGGATTAGAATCCCAACACATGTTTGTTAAATAGAGTTCGTGAATTAAGCAATTAAAGGTGTTGATAAATTTTTTTTTTTTTTTTAGAGAAAACTGCATTTATCTATTTAAACATCAGTACCAGAGTTTTCAGAAACATCCTCTCTGAGAAGAGGTACAAAAAAGTGAGGTGGGCTATCAATCCACACCTCTTCACTATCCCAACTGCAGTCAATATGGGTCATCAAATGGGCCGGTTTGTTTCTGTTTCGGCCCACAAAGCTCCACCTGACACCACCCATAGTCTGGGCTTTGGCCCTGATTTCCGCACAAACCAGCCCAATTTTCGTGTCTCTATCATCCTCTCGTTGTAGCTGCTGGATGATTCCCTGGCAATTCAATCTCCATTTCCCCAATCCCCAGTCTACTCGCCATAAGGTGTCGATAATTGAATTGACCGCACTCAAATATGGTAATTGATCTTGATTAGAAAAAGGATCAAGAGAACATCGAGCATGTTTTTTTGTTATGAGTTGTTCATTAAGAAAGCGATTGGGCCAAGCACATATGGAAAAAAACAAGCAGAAAAAAAAACAACAAGAATCAGAACACCAAACAAAAGGCCCGAAAAACACAAGTGGGCCGACACCTAATAGGGTCCAGACCCGAACCTAAGAACATGTGTGGCTTCCAAACCTTAGTTGCTCATCTGCCCCCTCTGAAGCCTCCATTGCTGCAGCCAAAAAGACACCATTGTCGTCACGCCACCCAGCACCGTCGTCGTCGCCGCCACTAGCAACAGCCGTCGCGCACCAACTCTGAGGAACCCTTTCCGGCAAACCCAGATGGAAGGACGAGGAAGAGAGATCTCCACCATCCCACCCCGGGCCAATCGTCACCGTCACCCACTAAACGGAACCAGAGGACCACACCAGACGAACGGTCGCCGACGAAAGCACCAGAGGAAGAAGGACTTCTGTCTTCAAGCTCTCCACTCTGAGTCCGACGCCAAAGGCTGCATCTCCGAAACATCTAGATATACAAGGTGAGACAAGGAGGTAGACTAGAGACAGGAAAGGAAAAGACAAGCCAGATCTGGAACGGATCCGGCCTCCATCCCTCCTTAGATAGGACCATCATCTCCAGATCTGAGCCAACAGATCGAAGGGCAAAAGATTCATCCCAATTAAGGGGAAGAAGAGGAACCCAACAAAGGGGAAGACAAACACCCAAACACACAGGCGAAAAACCGAGCCCAAAATGCCAAAAAGATCAAAAGGCGTGGAAAAGGGAAAGAAAGCAGGAAAGCAGAAGAAAAACAATGAAAGGAGGGATGGAGGGCTGTTGCTAGTCGTCGGAGAGATGCCGACAGCAGCCCTCAAACTCAGAAGGAGAGGGAGCCGCTAGAGACTAGAGAGAAGACAGAGAGAACAAAAGAGGAGAGAGGAAAATGAGGAAGAGGAACCTTGAGCTTGTTGATGTTGATGGATATGGAGATGAAAGAGAAGGAAAGAGCAAAAAATAAAGAAATACAATATTTGTTAATGCGATCGGTGGCTAGAACTGGTTTTCCCTACTCGGGTTAGAGTACATCATCATTGGTTATTTGATTTGCACTTAATAAAACCTAGGGTTAATACCCCCGAACTATACCCATATAATCAATGTTGGTCCATGGTTTCAAAAATTAACATCCTGGCCTCAATTATACACCATATAAACTAATTTGGTACGATTCGTGAATGTCTATCAAATTAAACAGTCAACACCATTGACCGTTAGTGAATCACCACGCTATTTTAATGTGGATGCCATGTGGAAAATAAAATTAATAAAAAATTCAAAATTTTCATATAATAAAATAAAAAGATAAAAATTAGATTTTATCTGATTATTAGACCCCTAACCAGCACCAACCCCCAGCTTATCCCCCGACGTCACATAATAATTAGACGAGAGCGAATCCCATGACTAGGGGGGGGGGGGGGGGGGTCCTTAGTCACTTGACTAAGCCCCTCCAGCCATTAGATATGGACACTTCAATCCAATGATTAAAAAGTGGGAATGACTATTTAATTAATGACAGGGGTAGTTTGGGTATTATGGAAAATTACGAAGTATACAAACCGGATTTACAATCAGTACAAACCATACAAATATACGAACAGTACAAACTAGAGTGACAAAACATACAAACATTACAAACGTATGAACTGTACAAACAATACAAACTAGACTGACAAACCATACAAACCATACAAAAAGAAAAAACAATCGAGTTGACTTTGGAGGCTCCATCCCTATATAGAGGGGCTCCTTCCCAAAGTCAACCCGAGTGTTTTTTAGACATACAAACAGTACGAACATGGTGGACAAAAATGACAAACTAGACCGACAATCCATACGAACGGGAAAAAACATCCGGGTTGACTTTGGAGGCTCCATCCCTATATAGAGGGGCTCCTTCCCAAAGTTAACCCGGGTGTTTTTTAGACATACAAACAGTACGAACATGGTGGACAAAAATGACAAACAAGACAGACAATCCATACGAACGGGAAAAAACACCAGGGTTGACTTTGGAGGCTCCATCCCTATATAGAGAAGTTCCATCCAAAAGTCAACCAGGTTGTTTTTTAGACATAAAAAACATTATAAACATGGTTGACAAAGATGATAAACATGGTGCACAAAAATAACAAAATTTACAAACATTACAAAATAACAAAGCGTACAAACATTACAAAATATGTCAACAAACATCACAAAATTGGCACTGTCGTCGGAAAATTCTTCTCCGTCGACGATGGTCGTCGGAAAAAAATTTCCGACCAGAAAATTTTCCGACCAGAATCGAATCTCTCTCTCGCAAAGGCAATTGCCTTATGTGGGTAAAAAAAATTCCATTCTCTCTCTCTCTCTCTGTAATGGCCGCATGAGAAGAACTCTCCTGCCTAGGAATCCCCCTGGCCGGAAAAAATTGGACGGAGACGCGCAAGGGACGGGGGCGGACCCTGGCCGGAGACGCCGCAAGGGAGGAGGAGGACTCAATTTTATTATTCATTTTATAATTAAAATTAAAAAAATAAACATGCAATTACTATACTATACTGCCCTTCATTAAATTGGATTAATATGGGCCATTAGATTTTAATGAGGTGCAAAAGTGGAGATTGACTAAGTCATGTGACTAAGTGACCCCCTTCGTCACCTGATCTTAGCCCTAATTAGACCCTTAGCCAACCCCGTCGCCGCGGCACCCCAACTAGCAACGATGGAGAGATTCCTCCGACGAACACGACGATCGCGAGAGCTTCCTAGAGCAGAACGAAAGGTAGAATCTGCATCCCAACCCTCATCACCAAACCTAATGCTATCCCCGCCGCTCCTCCTCCTCTTCTCTACACGTCGAGGATCTCCCCCTTCGAATTCAGCTCCACCCCTCTTCCGCCTCAATCTTCATTTTCTTAACCTGTCAGCCTCCAAAAATGGAATTCGCCCTAACCCCTAATTCTTTCCAACTTTAGATCGAGAACAGAGCGAAAAGAAGATGCAGGTATGGGATCTGCAGCGGCTTCCTCGTGGTCTTCTTCCTCGGCTACCGTTTGACTGGTGAGAGGTGATGGTGGTTTTGCTTTAGCTACAGTGGTGGCCTTAACAGATATGGGGTTTTTAGAGGTTTTCAATGAAGGTAATTTTTGTGGGTGAATATTTTCTGAGCATAAACAAGCAAAACAGAGTGATAAAAGATGAGATTCGGGCGGGCCTCAAGCTCCATGCTCCGCCGTCACCCCAAAGCTCCACCAATCTCCAAAACCCACTCAAAGATAGGTCGATGACTAGAGAAATTCGACAATAATAGAGATCCACCAAGAGCAAGATCGTCGGCCACAAAATTAAATTTGGGAGTTTTTCCCATTATTTATTAATTAGGTAAAGGAAATAATTAAATTATTTTGAATTTTGAATTTTTTATTTGTTCGTTGTTGAAATGGTAGTGACCTGGACAGTTGACTAACGGTCAATGGTGTTGATCGTCCAAATAAACGGCAAACCAGCATTCGGCCAATGGAGTCTATATGCTGCATAGTTGAGGTCAGGATGTTAATTTCTGAAACCACAAGCCAAAGTTGATTATATGATCATACTTCGGGCCAGAATAAGGTATTAACCATAAAACCTAATCCCTTGATCTTGTATGGCCCATACCTGATGAGTGAGATTAAATGGCACTTTAAATCTCCTTATTCTGCAGACCGTCTTGTATCTTCTTTACTTTAGCTATGTTTTGGGAAAAAAAGTTTGCACATAATGAATGTGTTCATGGTAATCTACAAAACAATATAATTTTTAATATATATTAGGAAACTTTTCTTTTTCACCCTCTAACATCATTTATCTCCTTCCCTTTGCTTCGAATTTTGAAATTTTGATCAAAAGAAAGAATTCATTACTATCTACTCAATAATATTCATTCTCAATATATTTACGAGAATTTTTTGAGAAAATTATATCACCCTCTGCTATAGTGGTAGGATGGTGGTAGACGATGGTATATGGTGGTTAGCATATTCCTACCACTCTATGTATACAATCATTCTATACTATGGTAATATTTATACCATCATGTTATATTTCTCATATCATCTTAGTATAAACCCGTCTTTGTCTTGTGCTCTTCCGGATCATCTTTCACATCACCGGGTTCAAACAAAGAGACCATGTTAAACCATTTAATTTTTGGACTCGAGGGAGGTGTATGGGTAGGAGTTACCGACTCACAATCCTTAGCCATATCTTCACACACTTGTGAAACGAAGGAATTGGAGTCACGGTGTAACGAATCTCCTCCTAACCAAACTTCAAAGTGATACGGTTGGCACTCACGTCAGTGAAAGTTCTCTCAGTGGCCAAGAATGGTCTTCCAAGAATGATAGGTATCTCATTACAAACCATCCATGTCCATCATCACAAAGTCCACGGGGTAGATGAAACTAGCACACTTCACCAAGATGTTCTCCACCACACCCTTAGGCATTGCCACCGACCGATTATAGCTAACTATATCTTCATGTTCATCGGTGTAAGGGGACCAAGATCAAGCTCATGATAAACTTTCTTTAGTATGATGTTGATGTTTGATCCCAAATCCTGCAAGGGATTCCATAGGGTTTTATCACCAAAAGTACACGGGATTGTGAAAACTCCTGGAACTCTTCATCTTTGGTGGAAGTCCCTTACAAGCAATCATGGTTGAAGAAACCGTACTTAAGTAAACCATAACAACTACCTCCATCTTTCGCTTCTCAGATAAAATCATTTTAAGAATTTTGTAAGTTGGGAACTTTCTTCACACGTCTAAGAAGGGTACTGTGACCTTTAATTGCCTTAACATATCCTTCCATTTCACATTCATGCCGAAGATCACTCTCAAATGCTCTCTTGGGCTATTGAAGTTTTGGGGATGTAGTTAATTAGATACCTTTATTTTAGTCACTTCTTCTTTGGTCTTTTTATCTTTATTAAGGGTTATAGGTATAATATGCCCCTCTAGTATGACGTTTTATCAAACATGCCCCTCTACTATTTTTTACATCAAACATGCCACTGTGCTTTGTAAAAATGATCAAACATGCCCTTTTGTTAAAATTTTCATCCAAAAAACCGTTAACCAAGGTCGAACTTTGGTTTGGGCGGCACAAATGTCAAAATATCCATAATAATTTCACTTTAGAATTTTGTTTTTGTTTTTTTATAGCCAAATAATTCAAATAATTTCACTTTGAAGAGACTCAGAGATATAAAATGGGGGACAAAACTGACATTTTACCTGCCATTTGTCGATGTTGGGTCGTCTAAATCTCACTTCAACCATGATTGACGATTTTTTCAATGGAAATTTTAACTGAAGGGCAAGTTTGATAATATTTACAAAATATAGGGGCATGTTTGATGTAAAAACTAATAAAGAGACATATATTATAAAACGTCATATTAGAGGGGCATATTATACTTATAATCCCTTTATTAATAACCTCACTTCTCTTCTTCTTTTCTTCATCTGATTCTTGATTAAGTTCTTGGGTAGTTCGAGTATCCAATTCGTGATTCTTGTCCTTCTACAACCTGTAGGAAATCACGTTTGATGCCACCAAGGTTAGCGATAGCATATTAAATAGTTATGCCCCTGATCCTGATCGAACAAGGTATGAAAAAGAGATCGGGATCACTCCGCTTAATTGGAACTTCATGAGGCACAAAAGCTGGATGGGCCATGCTTATATCTGATATCGCCGTGTCATCAAATTTCCATTTGTTGATACCAGGTGTTCAACTTGTTTCATATAATTTGGAACCTCTGATACGGTTAGAGCTGGCTATTTTGGTCCGGACTTTTTGGTTTTACCCGAAATCGGAATGTATAATTCGGACCGGAAACGAATAGCAAACAATTCAATCCCATCTTCGCGCTTAGATTTGAAGTAAAAAAGCGTTTTAGACCGGATCAAAAACCGGATAAGAGAGGCCAACATCCAAAACTTAACCCAACTCATCACCTTTTGAGGCCACAGGCCACTTGAATTCCCACAAGCTCAATCTAAAATCAAGACCGAATTGGGACCGAATCGGGTCAAGACCGAACCGAATCAAGACCGGACTGTATCCAATCCAATTTTTTGTCCTTATATTTCCAAAAAGATCGGACCGAGACCGAATCAATTCGGGTCAATTTAACCGAACCAGACCATCACCCCTAGATACGGTGTCAAGAGATGGAATCAAGACTAATATTCTCCTTTGCCACTTCATATTCCTTGGCGAGGTGAAATTTGTCAAAGCGCGACTTCAATTCATGACATTATCTGCACAGTTCCTCATAAAGAGTTGAGCAGGTTGGGATTTGGTGGTGGATTAGAGTCTCTAGCACTAGCATTCGATTCGAGGTTCCTAAAGCAAATACTTGCTCCATGTTTGATGGGGTTGGAGTCCTCTTCCAAGTAGAACAAACCCTAACACGGGAAACTCTGCTATTGGGAATAGAAAGCGGACACACAATAACTTCAACACCCGGTGAAATAACAAGTTGGAATAACTCATAAAAGCGGAAAAGAAAGACTAATAAATTAGCAAATCTAACTTAACTTCAACTAGTTATCAGAAAACTTTTCCGGGCAAAATAGGTTGCTCACAAAATATGGGGTCGGATACTATGCTAACCTTTAAAGGGGTAGTGATTTTCGACACCCTCCTTTTGATTGGTCAGTTTTATACTTAATTATTAGACAAGTATTAATGGCTGTTCCAAATAAATATGGATGGAGAAAGAATTAATTGTCATATTAATTATGCACGGGAAGGGGCAATTTAGCTGGATCCCTGGATGGAAATTGTGGCGTTTCTACTCCCTTTCCCTTTGTTTCTATTTCTCCCCTCCCTCCTCTGCTATTTCCCCTTGTTTCTTTCCATTGCTGTGGAGAACCATAGCTCTGGTTCATCACTAAACGGCTGACGGATATCCCCGCCGCCCTTACAACAAGTCCGACCATCCATGTCGTCGGTCGTCTGCCGTCCTCCGTCTTCCATCCCAAACATCACCTTCCAACAACTTCCTCTTATCCACGGCCTGCGCTTGATCTTTTCCTGTTGACCACCGTCCTTCCACGGTAGAGATTCGATCAATCCTAAGTGGCGGCGACAGATTGGTGTGTTTCCTCCACTGGAAAAGATCGAATCTCTACCGTGGAAGGACGGTGGTCAACAGGAAAAGATCAAGCGCAGGCCGTGGATAAGAGGAAGTCGTTGGAAGGTGATGTTTGGGATGGAAGACGGAGGACGGCAGGCGGCCGACGACATGGATGGTTGGACCTGTTGTAAGGGCGATGGGGATATCCCCTGCGTGTTTTCCTCTTCCGACGAGCAACCCACCAGGCGGGTCGGAGGCGATCCCACTGCGACGCTGCCCGATGTTTCCGATCGCGAAGGGTTGCGGGCGGGTTCTGAAGTCGATGGTTCGGGACGAAAGACAGACGACTTCTGACGGGAGGGATGAGCCGACCGCTGTTTGTGAAGGAGATGATGGTTTACGGCGAGGGTAGTGATTTGATGAGTCGGCGGCGAAGGGTTGCTTGCGGGTTCTAAAGCCAGAGATATAGAAGGAAACTGAAACGGTGAAATTAAAAAAAGTAAGAGGGAATGAATAATTATGAGTGGGGGAACCCACTGTTTACTTCTTTCTCTTTTTCGATGTAATTAATTACTGAATTAATTACAAATTACCAACTGTTTGCAATGACCATTAGATTAAGACTATCTAAAATGGACGGTAAAGACACTGGATGTCAAAAATCACTACCCCTTTAGGGGTAGTCACGCTATCCGAACCCCAAAATATGTTGCGAGTAGCATAACGTGATTGGGGGAGGTAAAAAAATAAACCTCCTGAACAAAACAAAACAAAACAAGAAAAAACAAAGCTCACCGTTGCTCCAGAGAAAGAATGCACACTTGAGACTCCATCCTGTCAGTTCTTTTCGAACGTGAACCGCAGTCAAATTCATCATGACATGATTCAGACCTTGAGTCTTGCTGAGAAGTTAACGTCGGTAAACAAAGAAGACACAATACAACGGAGGTAGAGTAGAGCAAGAGCATTCTATAAAAGAGAAGGTTAAGTAGAGGAAGAACATAGCCATCAATTTCCAGAGCCCAGAACTCCAGCCGTGCTTCTAACGAGCTCTACTTTCTCGTAAGATTTTTTCATTTCTTCTCAAGTCCCCCAGCTACAAAAACTGAACGCTCTTCCCTTACAATTTGTCCGCCTTCCATAATCTCTACTCATCAAAAGCCCAAAAAATTGGTACAACTTTCCTAGAAGAAGCAGATTTCTGTTTCGCATTGCATTTGCATTCAATGAGGGACAAGTTACCCAGGGCAAAAAAGGTCGAGGTCATATGGGAATCAAAATTTAGGAAAAGAAAAGAGAATTGTCGTTCAGTTAATCTCTGCTAACCCAGGGTACGAAAGCTCCTAAACAGTAACAGCCCTAAACCTCCAATTGCTAGGGTTAAAACCACGGGAACTCCTATGGCATCAAAGTCAGGTGTTGTGAGACTGTTTCTTTTCCTGGATTGCCTTGACCTCTCTGCTGTCACCTCATGAAGGAGACTGCCGAAACTATCTAACTTGTGCATGACTTGGCGTTGTCCTCGCACAATCTAGAAACCGAGACTTAGGTGATAAGAGGGACTGTCTACATGGTCAATTTAGATAAGCAATAGGTTCATTTCAATCAAAAGGGAGCAGTTATGGTTACCTCTTCCAGAAGTGGTGAATCCTTAGCCAGCTGGGAAAGTGACGATGAATGGGACAGTTTGGATCCAGCTAGGCCACCATTACTCAATCCAGACACAAAGTAAGAAGTAGGAGCGGAGCCATTGCTCGCATCACCGCCATGCAACCCCATGTTCTGCTGCGGGCTTGGAGAACTATTATTATTCACCACCGTTAGCTTGGAGTTTAATTCTTCTAGTTGGGATGTAAAATCATCCATTCTGTCATTTAGCGAAGACATCTGTTCTGAAAGCTGCGTAATCACTCCCTTTTTTAAGGGCAAGGGAAAAACGAAATCAACCAAGAATTTCAGCCACAGCTTCCTTTAGGCTGTACTGGAGAAAAAGAAAAAAATCAAAGTGAAGAACGCTGAACTAGTACCTGATTTGCCAGCATTGATTGAGGCTCTGAATTTATGTCCTCGTACCTTCGGTTGCTGGCTGGAATTGCAGTGAGCTTGGAGTAGCTTTTGTCTCCTTGAGTTGTATATGAGTGTGACATACCACTGCTACAACGACAACAACAATGGTCCATAAGCAAGATATCTGGTTGGTATGGGATGATTAGAGAAGAGAAAAAATAAGCATAAAGATGTCAAGAACTTCAAACCTTCTGAGATTCTTGTTTCTCATAGCGACCCTGTCAGCAGAGGCTCGAAGAAGTGCTTCCTTGGGACTAGAAACTAAGTCCTCATCTAGGCTTAGCTTTGTCTTCAAATCATCAGGCAAAGCCTGCACAAGAGACCATCTTTCTAAGCAGGAACGAAATTCACAAGAAATAGATATAACCAATCATAAATAACATATGCTGGCATACCATCACTTCATCTACAAGCTTCTCCAGTTGGATTTGTTCAATATAAGTACGAGGAATGTAGGAACCTTCCAAACCTAGCTGCTCAGCAATGCATCTCACAACAAGCCGATCTCTTCCTTGCACCTTTATCAGAGACAAGCAAACATCTGAGGTCAGAATGATTGAGAGCAGTTCAAGGACAGAAATGCAGCACTATAACGCACAAATAATCCAACTGCCACACATATATACATACACTAAAAGGAGGAGTCGAGCAAGAACAGAACTCTACTTTGACAATTCTGCTATAGAGTCGAAGGATGGACAAGTAGATGAACAAATAGGAAGTATGACACAATACCTGGATATACTGACGATTCAGCTGTTCTAGCCAATCAACTTTAACACATACTCTATCATCAAAGAATGTATGACTACTCCTTTTAAGGATGGTCGCAATTGTATACCCCAGTGCCATCAACCCACCAAGCAGACGCACACTAACTTCAAATGTGATCCTCGGAGATATAACAAATGGAGCATCAGTCACCCATTCCTGGCATTGAAAGCAACATCTCAAACAATATAAAGATAAAAAGTACAGAGTTTGGTTCCAAAGGTTACAGTACAGTAGCCAAGTACCATGCATTTACAGTTACTTGGGAAACCAAATTTCTACAATGTCATGCAAGTAATGATCCTTGGAAATTTAGATATTGATTTATTAATATATTAGAAGGTGAGGCAGAAACCTCAAACATAAGATTGTATTTTCCTTCTTTGTTGCGCATCCTGAGATATGATTGGCAAGACTCTTGATCTTCACCAGGTGGTAGAAGATATATGTCATATGTTTGCTCTGTTGTCTCTGTGTGTACTTCAGGGAAGACAGACTTGATCAGATCTATGGCCACATTCCTTGCTGACTACAACAGAATGAAGTGACTCAGAAACCTATACATTCATAGATGTAGGGGGAAAATGACTCTTGATCAGCATCCCGCAAAAATCACATGCTCCAATATAAAGGGAGGATTCATAAAAAATCCAAATCAACAACAACAACACTAGTAAATGCAAAGGAAAACACAGAAATGTAAACCAAATGAAACCAGCAAAGAAATCAACCTTCAAGATGTAAGTAGGATTCTGGAATCCAGTGAATGGGTTGAACTTGTTAATTATTTTTATATGAGCAGTTTGAAGATCTGGCTCTATGAAGGCTTTATACATTGGGTATACCTGCAGAAGCAAGAGAGCATTGATACTTGGAAAGCCAATAGGACACAACAAATAGCTTAATACAGCTACACAAGGAACAAAACTAACTGTCTCCGATATCTGGTGGATTATTTCTTCTGGTTCCTGCCCAGCACGTTGGATATCTCGTAAAACCCGCTTCACAAGGTCAAAGTGAACTCCCCCTCTTACTGATATTCGCAAATCCAGCAATGGTCGTAACCTTTCACTCAGTGCATATATCCCTTCAATAATCACAATGCGAGAATCAGGAACTTCCACGGTTCTGCAATTTGAAACACTTAACATCAGTTTTTTACCCACTTTCAAGGTGTTGAATGAAAGCTATATCAATTATAAAAATAAACAAAACAGCATTGATCTGTCTAGGAAGATAACTACAATCACATGTTTAAGAAGTTAAATAAAGTACAGATTATAGCAACTCTTTCTTTCCACATATATAAATGAGAACCTGTATCCAGTGCGAGAGCTGGACTTGAAATCATAGATAGGGACCTCAACAGATCTTCCTGCTTTTAAATCTTGTACATTTTGTAGTAATGTGTCATAGTCAGTCAATCTTGGATCTGCTCAAAAGAAACAAAGTAGCAACACATGAATACTTAATCTTCAATTTAGGAGCACTAAAATTAATTGACTCTAGTCTGCAACTTCTGAAGCTTCCAATAATAGTTGCTAATCAAGCAACCTTTGTGTGCAGCATACAGAAACCCGCTTGTTTTCAGAGTAACGGCAAGATTGTAACATAAAAGAAGTTCGTTAATTCACATACAACAGAAGAGGTAAACAGAACTCTTGATTGCACTAAAATGCAGTCATATTAATTGCATTAAAATAAAAACAACTAAGACTTAGATCAGAACTGTACAGCTCTTTCATGCTATCGGAATGAGTCTCCATTTGATGTACAGAATAAAGAGCTCTTCCATTCATTAAATAAAATAATTGCAAGAACACAAGGCTGCACATCCTTGAATTTCTTAAATAAAACAGCTAAACGTAGAATACATGCTCCTAGAAGCATGATGGCATATGTCTGTCAAGTGAATCAAACATATACAACTCCATAACTCAATTGATCAATCATCCCTATTTCTGTATTCTCTTGAGGCAACTGGAAGAACACATCATAATGGAGATTTCTGCCATGCAAACAATTGATCAAATGATGCATAAGCTAAATGTCAAAATAGAATCTCATTATAGAAAAGAATAAAAGACACCATGAAACCGTTCTTCCAACTATTGCACCAATGGGGCCCCAAGCCAATAAGAAGACTTTAAAGGTCGTAGAAAATATATTATCGACAAGAAAATTACCATCAAAATTCCCATCAACAATTCGGCTAGCGTCATTGTAGTTGTCCATAGATATGACAGCAACACTGGGCATGAAGTTGATAATCTTTTCAGTGAACATGGTCTTACCAGCCCCAGAAGGACCGGCTAAACCTACCAATATTATCCCGTCATTCTTTTGGGCTAGTAATTGGCATGCACGTATGACTACAAAGAAGCCTTTCTCAAACGACAAGGAGTCTTGGATTGGAACAATCTCATAACGCTCAGAATCTTTCCTCTTTGCCAACCTAACCTGGTCCTTCAGCAGACCCTGCTTCTTTGGGTGTGATTCGGAACCAGAAGGGCCTTTTCCCATCTTTTCAAGTGTTGGTCCCCCTAGCAAATACACCAAAGCAGAGCAATTAAGAGTGCACAAATTATAGAAAAAATAATTAGATGAACAACAGCAAACAAATGGAAATTCTCGAAAGAGTACGCATTAATAATATATATCTATCAGGAACACCCTTAATTGGATAAATTGAAGAACAAACAAATCAGCTTGTTGTAGAGAAGTGACCTCCAAATGAATGATTCCCTACAGTTAACCACATGACTATTGACTACCCACTTGAAACAAGTTTCTATGCAGAAAACTACTGGAAGTGCTGGGAACAAATAATCGTCACCACAAAAGAAGCCAATCCTCCAGAGCTAAATGCCATTACACACTGTAAGTACAATACAACCCCACCACACTACATGAGATTTCCAGTTTCCCCAAGGCACCTTGAAGATTGTAGTAGTAAACAATGGATACCCAAAAACAAATTCAGTGTGGCCTAATCACCCAGTGAGATACTGATACTACTGTGACACTAAGAAGCCATATCACGTTTGTGAACACTATTGAACTCGGCCAGGGAAAAGGAGACTAATGCCATTACTGCTTGTGCAAACAGAACATACACTCTAAATTCTAGCTAAAAACAGGGCAAGCCGTGAAGAACTTCCATGTTTCATTTAGAGGCTAGTACATGAAGAAACACAACCCACTAGATCCTCACAAATGTTAAGAGAATGAGATGGCAACCCCAATTTTACCTTATATGGCACAACACCAACCCGTGGTACTTTTGAGTTTTGACAGGAACACAAAAACAAATGTAGATATATTCCATTATGCTTTTGGCTCTAACAAAATTAGATATTTCTAAGCACATGCATTCTTCCGGAAACAATACCGCCACAGAATATCAGTAATGGTTTGAAAAATCGAAAACCACTCCCGTGGGTTTGGCATAGAAGACATAAAAATGACAGAGGACGTCTCCGGCAAAACTCAGTGACGCGGAAAAGATGAGACTGGAAACAGGGGAAAATGAAAGGAACCGGAAACCAACCCAGAAAGAAACAGAGCAAAAAATGGCGGTGATGTGAAAATTGTACGGATCGAGCAGACTCAATCCGAAAGAGAGAGCGGCAGTGACGAGAACCAGAGAACCCACATGATTAAAACAAAGGGTTACCCAGATATGATTAAATTGGAGAAGAACTCCATGTCACAACGTGAAACGGAATAAAAAAACCAAAAGGAACGAAGGAAAAGGGGAGCACTAACCGAATCGCAATTAGAGCTTCAGGGATCTCTTCTTTCTAACCTCTGTTGAAAAGCGAAATCAGTGGAGGCTTTTCAGCAAAACTAAAACCCCGTAACACAAACAGCGTTTCAGTCGGTGAAGGAAGGAAAGGGAGCCGCGGCTGCTGGCAGAACTCAGAAGGCAATGGCACCAAATTGCGAAAGAGTAGGAAGGAAGGAAGATTTTTTAATATATATGGGATTTGGATTCCCAATATGCCAGATTTTCCGCCAGATATTTATTGCTTTTTTTCTCTCCCTTTTGCAAGTCCCGCCAAAGAAGAGGAGGTAGAATAGAAAGGAGTTTCCAGTTCGCAGAATCTCAGCAATCACGCTCCACAAAGTCCCAGTGGTGGGAGAGAGACTCACAGTCACAGAACAAGACGCAGGACCTTTAACAGAAAATGGATGTTTATGTCACTGTAATGGTTTTACAATAGCAGAGATGGATTTTTATAGATTGTAAGGATTGTTTGGATGGATCAATTTCGAAATGAGACATGTAAAACTATTTAATTTGAATTATCTGCCCCACGCTAAAAATTGTAATTATCTAAAAACGAGTTAATTCAAAGTTCACCAGGGCCAAATTACTTAAGCTAAATTTTATGCTAACTCATATATAGTCACTTCGATCTAGGCTATCGTATCTGAGGCATTAAGTTTGTAGCTGCATTCAATGGGTAGTACCCACCATCCACACCTATGTTTCATCCCGGGTTCTATCTAGGAAGGCTATCTATGGTAGAGATTTGGTTGCCTCAACCACCAAAAGTCCCTATTCATACATCTAACATCGATTTGCTTGATGGAGCATACCCATCTAACTCTAAAACTCCAAACCCAACGTAGAAACATAAAGTAGGCTAGTAGAGAATATTAGGGCGACTTACCCAAACATAATCAAAGACAGAATAGCAATAGAATCAACCAGATAAACACATTCAATCATTCAACCCCTAAAATTTTCATACATACCTTGTAAACCCTAAAACTAGGTTTTTGGTTTAGAACCCCTAGTATCTTAGAGGGCTACTCCATATTGGAGGAGGGACGAAGATACATATAAGAAATTGAAGAAGTCTTGATGTGGAGAAAGATGCCTCCTCTCTTCTACCTCCTTCTCCTTCTTCTCCTTCCTTCGGCTTCTCTCTCTTCTCTCTAAAATCATAAATTCTATCTCAAAATCAGCTCCCTAAATAAGGGAGAAGGGGCATTCTATTTATAGGCAATCAGATGACAGAGAAGTTCGTGGCCAGACAGGGTAAAGATCGCTGCGGGATCTTCAATAGCGAGGCCTTCGGGAACGAGGAGACTGCAGGCTAACTTCGCGATCGCGATCCACGAGTCGCGACCGTTATCTTCCTCACGATCAATTTAAACTATGACTGTGATCCAACCGAGGAAACTCTTTGTTTCTCCATGGCTCCTTCTTCACGAAGTTCGCGCTCTGAACCCTCTAATTCGCGGCCGCAATCTTGGGATTCCAGGCCGCGACCTTCAACTCGACTTTGCGGTCCATGATCTTAGTCGTGATCTTCACTTCTAGGACACGATCTTCAGTCTTCTGCCCCCTTGCTACACTTGTGACCTTATTTTGTACCTAATTAGCATGTATCGTCTAAAGCACCCTAAAATTACATCGAATTCAAATAGGAACAAAATAGGGATGCAATGCGATGTTGAAGAAATTATGAACATGAATTGGCATGAAACAAACCTTAATATGAAGGGTAAATAACACCAATTTAGGTGTTATCAAACTCCCCCACACTTAGGTGTTTGCTTGTCCCCAAGCAAACCTACTCAAACTTAATGCAACATAATATACAAATTCATGGGAATGAACTCTAGTTCTTCATTGCATAAAGAAGAGTAGATGGATAAGGATGAATGTTACTATCATCTTACTGTGGAAGCACAAACTCTCGGGTGAGGACCATACTTACTACCTTAGGCCAAACATTCAAGGTGTGCACCGTGGGATTCTCAAACAACAATAAGCATATGAACTCTCGAAGGTGCTCTTTATTCTTTCTTACGATTAGGAGTTGTCGTTTATTGGTCTCCTTTTTTGACATTGACGCACATTGCACAAAGCTCTTACAATTCTTTTGTAAACAAGCATCTATCCCTCATGACCAAGAGTAGATGAATCATAGGCTTCCCTTTCAAGGTCACATGTGGGGAAGTTGATGGGCGGATTCGTCTTAGCCCGAGCACCACTTTCCAACCTGCACTCCATATTGGTTGCCACATATGTTGGGTACAAATGAGAGCTTTGAGGTCTCATGAATGGCTAAAAGGTACTTTGGACCTTGGCATACGATTTCGTGAGGAGGAAAGATACTTGGGGGATGGTAAGTAGTGAAAGATGGTCGGGACGCGGTAAAGTAATCCGATCCCAAAACATATCCTCAAAGGGCACTCCTAATCCGTGAGGATTGGTTGCCTCTCACGTGAGAACCTCATTTTAAAAAGATTTTTCTCCCTTTTCTTTTCTAATGCACACAAATCTTTAAAAGCTCCGAGTTTGAAAATCAAACAAAAAAGAGAATCTGACACATATGTTCTTCCTAAAATAGCAAATATTATCAACTCACAAAAGAGGAAGAATATAGCAAAATTACCCATACATCGGTAGTCTAATCATGCAACTATCACCTAGCGAACACAACACATCAATTATCTAGAAAATCAAAGAATATTGAGTAGGGAGTTGCAAGGAACAAGGTGATTTGGAACCCTCAAATTTGAAAAACTTTGGGTATTGCATTCAAGGTTACAAAACACTATCATTTGACCATTGATCATCACAACACAAACACAATTGCTAGCATATACTCCCGTACGCATTCATCAATGTCTTGCATTCACAAACAATGGAGGATACTAGCAATTCATGGTTTTACCAATCATGATAATCATTCAAACATTCACACACATTCCCCCACACTTGAGCAACATATTGTCCTCAATGTGGGAGTTTGAAAGAAAAATCATGAAGGTTACCATAGGTTGGGTTGTGGGTTGGTGAAGGTACACAAGTGTAGGTCTTTGTCTTCCTGGTGGTTTTCACAATGATAAAGCCCATAAGAGAGAGAGAGAGAGAGGTTGACGATTAAGAGTTATAGATAAGACAGATAAATAATATAAGTACGAATACTACTAGTGCTAGAGTACTTAAAGTACGAAAAACAAAATGAAAATAAAGTAGTAATTAAAGTACTTATCCAAAATAGGTAATAAGAAGGCGGAAACTAAAAGCGTCAGAAGTTCAAACTAGGAATATAAAAGATAGAAAATGGCCCTGAGATGCCATTAATCAACCAATGTCTAGTCCTCATCCTCGACCTCATCCTCGTCCTCCTCAGTCTTTTCTTCATCGCCAATGTAACTGTACGACCGTGGGGAATGAGTGCGCTTGTAGGGCTGGCGGGCTGCAGCTGGATCTAAGCTGTGACGTTCCATCAACGCTTGAGTGCAGTCGAGGATGTGCGATCTCCACTCAGCCTCTCTCCTCTGGTTCCTTAGAATAACCTCCAGGTGTGTAAGGTGAGCTGGATCGTCAAAAACATGGTGGGGCCTATGAGCAGTTAGACTGCCCTGCGTGAAAGCTGTGGTGACCCTATGTTGATGATAGTGAGCCCTAACCCCTCCTCGTCGGGAGGGCTGGGAGGGAGTAGCTAATACCATCAACGACCACAGTGTTGGTCGTCGAAAACTCCAATCCTCGAACTCCCCAGAATCCCTCCTCGTTCTGCTCCAATGTCTTCAAGTAAGTCTTCATATGCTCAAATGGAATAGGAAATGTAAAAGAGTATAACTGACTCTCGGCTGCAGTTAGGTCCACTCCAATGTATCTGGCGATCCTAGTGATGTAAGCTCCCCCATGAAGAGCCAACATCCTCCTATCTGAACCATGACGGCGAAGGGTCTGCATGAGGATCGTACAAGGTGAAGCCGAATCCGGCTCTGCATGCTCCAGATGAAAAGGACGTCTTTGGCGGTGGGTTGCCCTTGCTCCTGTACTTCCCACCAACCGATCGAGAAATGACATGGTGGATGATCACTCCTATTTGAGAGCTTCACATCCCAAGGTCTGCAGTGAGGCATCTTCATGACATACTCATAGAATGCATGAGGGAAGGAGAAGTCACTCTCTGCCTTCAGTGAAGAGTAGGAGTGATGATTGGTGTTGAAGTCTTGTCGATAGATGTCGAGGGAGAAGGTGAACTCCCTCATCGTAATCTCCCGCTAAACTGCTCTTAGTCAGAAGTTGATTAGAGCATTGTCTTCAGTAGCGCCCTTGATATTCCGAGTCCGGAGGGTACTCAGGAACTCAAGGGTCAGAACCCAATATCTGCTCGCTGATATCCAGCACTTTGAGCCAGACTGAGTCTTGAATCCTGGACCTAATAAGATCTACCATGCCTAACTGGTGAAATAGAACCCAGTTGAGGCATTCGCTCTCCCCGGTAGCCATTCCCTGGAATCGCTGTGGATGCTCGCTGGCAAGAATTGGGATCGCCATGAGGAAACAATGATCAATATGGGGCATCATTGCCTTGTGCTTTATCCTCTAGGGTCGCTAGGGCTGCTGCTCGCCCTCCTCTGGCTGAAGCTCTGGATCAGAGTAATGCTGAGGCTCCTGTGGCCTCAATGCAGTCTGCTCAAGGACAGATTCTGGGTCTCTCCGACGATTCCGCCGGACATACTAATGAAGAAACTTGGAATGACCCGAACATTCCGGAGGATTAGAGTTCTCTCCTTTTTCAATTCCTTTCCCTTTATCATTCCTCCTGTGCATAAAAAGAATGCAACCTTAGCTCTCAATTCCGTCAGAAAACTAGGTAACCTTCTCTCAAATTCACGTGCAAGCAAAGAAAGCAAGAAGAAAGACAAAGAATATGGGAGAACTCTCTAAGTGTATTACTCTAAAAAAATGATGGAATGAGTTATAAGTGAGGGAGATGACTCCTTATATATGCCTCTCCTCATACAAGGGATCAATGCCCCTCATAATGTCCCCCTCTACATCAATACACCTATTAAGTCCCCTCATAATGCACTCTAATAATGTCACCCATATATAATGTGACTCATAAGTGCACCATTAAGCTCTCTTAATGCCACCTTCAATGAAGAATATGTTGGCGTAGGGGATCGGGAAATCTTTCTCGCACATCATAAACTCCATGCGATGATGACCTGATACTCATCCAACGAAACAACCTCAAAGTTTGCCACCCCAGTCTATCCTCCAAACTTGATGGCAAGTGGCGCGCTACTCTGTGAGTTCTTGTGGCTCTTGAGCTGGTAGCCTTCAGTCACCCTCTTTGTTTCTTATCGTATGTGATGCCTAGCTATGGACTTCATCCATGTCGAGAAGGTTGCAGCTTTCCCTGGTGTCAACCAAGGATTTTGTCT